GTGAGTGTGCTTATTGTTATTGTTCTCTAAATTCTCTCAGTGTATTTGGAGCAAAAATTTAGAGTTTGTTTATTTATTTACTAAAGAAATTAATTTAAAGAAACTACAAAAAACTAACAACCAACCAGCATAAGCAATTAACTTTAAAATAAGTAAAAATAGTACGAACTTTGGAAAAAGCATTTTCAAATTGAAATTTTCAGCTACATAAATATTTACAAAAGCAGTAAGAATTTAAACCAAGTAAATACTCAAAGCTATTTATAATAAAAAAATTGAAATTTTTTTTTAGAATTTTATTTAAAGCAAAATAAATTGAGAAATCGTTTTTTTGTACCCACCAGTAAATTTTTAATTTTTAACGAATAAGTTAAAATTCAATTGTAAGATTTCTTTTTTTTCAATTTTACAAAAAAACATTGGCATTTTATTTTACAAACAAAATTTTAGACATACATACATCATTTGAATACTTTCCCGGTTGCAATAATTTTTATAATTTTTAGCTTAACTTACATAGTACAATGCTTAAATAATAAAACGCTTAAAATATTTATATCTTTTTCTTTACTCACTATTTATAAATAATGCAGAATTGTCAAAATTATTTTTACTAACACTCCAATTCTAATTATTAGTTCATATCAAACATATTTACAAACATGAATTGATTTTTTTTAGCAATTATTAAATTAATGAATGCGCGCGGTGAGAATGGTTAGAATAAAAAAAAAAATTACTTCCACCAAAGAGTGAGCCAATATGTACACTAGGAATTGTTCGGAGCAAAATTGTTAACTTCTCCTATTAATTCAAAGTAAAAATGGCGAACCAACTNTAATGCAGAATTGTCAAAATTATTTTTACTAACACTCCAATTCTAATTATTAGTTCATATCAAACATATTTACAAACATGAATTGATTTTTTTTAGCAATTATTAAATTAATGAATGCGCGCGGTGAGAATGGTTAGAATAAAAAAAAAATTACTTCCACCAAAGAGTGAGCCAATATGTACACTAGGGAGGAGGAAATTGTTCGGAGCAAAATTTTTAACTTCTCCTATTAATTCAAAGTAAAAATGGCGAACCAACAATATACCAATTCAAAATAAAATCACATTTATTTTTCATTGTACCAATAAATTTTCTATTTTCTCGGTTTTGTGAAGTTGTTTCTTAAATGGGCAAATCTAAAATTAGGTACACTTTCAAAAAAAAATTTTTACTTTTTAAATTTACATATACTAAATTTTAACCTGTTTAATTGGATGAGTTATAACGCAAAACAACCACTCTGATCAATTAGTTGTATGGGAGCTAGGTGTTTTAGTGAACCGATTTCGACGATTTTATGGAATAGTTAAGGTAATATTAAAAAACGGTTATGTGCAAAATTTTAGTAAAATATCTTCAAAACTCAGGGAGTGTTTTTATAAAATAGTTAAAATTTAAGCAAAGTTTCGAGTACTGCTATCTCGAAAAGTGAAGCCAATAGGGCAAAACTGAGGACGCCATTGAATTTAGAAGGCTCCAATTAAGTAATACCAAGTATCAGAACATTTGTCGAAAAAAAGTTACTTTGATACCACTCTCGAAATATTCTGACTAAAAGAAGGAGCATCATTAAAAGTAGTAAATCAGGGTTTTTTACAAACTTCTAGAGACAAATTTTTTGAAGCATTTTACAGGTATATGTAAATTGATGAGGACTAGCAGTTATAAAAAGATTTAGATCGACGTGTTTTCCAAATGTGCCTTCAATTAAGGTGTTTTTGGAATAAAAATTACGCTCAAGATCGCAGAATATTTTATCTTTAAAAGTTAGTTTATTCTGAAAGCACACATCTTGCTAAGGTATCAAATTATTCGCAATTGTTTGTAGAATACAACACATACTTAAAAAGTTCTTAAAATTAAATGCTTCAAAACCTATACGCGATAAACCAAAAATTTTGAAAATTGTGAAATGTGGAGTTACAGACTTTGAGTTACTTGCCATTTCGTTATTTTTTAAGGCACACTTTTCTTACCTACTACTACATATGAAGTGTACACATAAGTGCTAAATGCCCATTTAATTTCAAATCAGAATATGGTGTGCTTCAAAAGTTATGACATATTTAATTGTGACCCTCTTAAAAATTACATAAAAAATTCACTTGTTTTCATTATTTTTTTAAATTTAAACACCTATAATTCAAAAGTTATGCAGCAAATTGATCCAAATTTTTTTTTTGAGGCTTCAAGTATACGTCAAGGAATTATATCCAAAAGCAACCAGCTTGATTTAGTTTACAACAGTGAAAACACAAAGGTTACCTGTTTTTTAGATTTGCCCAAATATGAAGAAACCACAAAATTTTGTTTATAAAAAAATTATTTCGTTCAGAAAAAATTATAACACTGATTTTTCTTTTAAAAATTGGTAGGGTCTACGTCATTTTTGGTGTATAGTTTGTTCACCATTTTTTCTTAGAATTAATAATAATAATAATAGATTGGCGCTTACACATATGTTAGTGTTTGGCCGAGCTTCTCCTCCGATTTGTGGCGTGCGCCTTGATGTTGTCACACAAAGCGGAGGGACCTACAGTTTTACGCCGACTCCGAACGGCGATTGTATTTTTATGAGAAGNTTTTTCTATATTTTTTTGGGATGTTGCTTTGACCAGGGCTTGAACCCAGGCGTTGCGGAGTGGAAGCGCGCACTGCTTACCACTACACCACAGCGGCTTAGAATTAATCGTAGAATTTTAACTTGTTATACACTTTTTTCGAAATTAAATTACTCCGCCCTAATGTACACGCTTACAGTTCGATTTTAGTAAACGGAAGGAAAGGGTAAGGTGAGAACATTGTTGAAACATATGTATGTACATATATGCTCTCAGAGGTTGAAATGTGAAACTAGCAGATCTAACTTGGAGAATGCTCGATCGACTAAATGGTTATAAGCGTTACAATAACGCTTCCAAGACGCACCAGGTTATCGGAGCAGAATCTATGTTTTACAATCTAGAACTCTTTAAATCAACTTTCTGTAAGAATTTAAGCTATTTAGGCCTTAGATCAGAGCGAATGTTAGGGGAATATTAACAAAATATTTTGGCTAGGTAACGGACAAACAATCGAACTATTGGCCTTGGACACTTCCAGGGGACTCTATACTATATATGGATCAAAAATGGGGCCTAAGCCTGTTACAGTAATGTGTGCAAGAGATCCAAAGCACTCATTCAAGTTCAATAGGCATGAGCATAGAATGCGTAAAGCTTTTTTGATTGCTGTACAGCCCTCAACTATGCTTTTAGAGGTTAACTCCAACTGGTTGCACTTAATCGGAATGGTATAACGTCAAGTGATCAGTCACAGAATTTTAAAACATTCTACAGATTTAATTCATATCAAGGCGCATCAATACAAGGTGATGTTGATTGAAAAGCTGATTGAATATTTTTGCTAAACAGTAATAGGCTGAGAGAGAGAGATAGAGAGAGATTTTAATCCGCCAATAATAGTCTAAAAAGTTTGGAAAAGCTCTGAGCTTGGCAAATCGCTGCTTAGGCCTGATTAAAAATCTGGTCAAAGCTTTAAAGCTTCTTCTGCGATATGACCAGTGGCACAAATCACCTATTTATATATAACACTAGGAGCGTTGTCCACAGTGCTACTGGGGCAACGAAGCCACCGTAGGTTGGCGCTGTAGAGCAGGTGAGTGACGTCAAGCTAGTGAGCACTGCGGGAATTTGATATTTTGACAACTGGCAGTTCTTTTTTTTTTATTAATTTCCTTCGCGATTAAAAAAATTTCCTATTTGGACATAAATAACAATGAGTAACATGAAATGACTTAATACTAGATTTTAATTTTAAGCGTAAATATGTATTGTACACACATTAATTTAACCTACAAATGATAAAAAGTATTTTAACAAACATAAACAAACATGAACCTTGGTTTGTATGTATGTACCTAAGTTCGTGTGTAACGGGCATTACACGCACATTAGGGTGCAACAATCTGCACAAAAAAAAATCGGTACTCTTTTTCCATCGGAATTATAAAATCGTAGATTTTAAGACTTCTGGCAAAATATTTTAGAAAAATATTCAGACTCACGCGAGCTGGACCAAGTTGAAAATATCTACAAAAATCTGTTTTTTTATTTTTTAAAAAGTAGTTAAACATTTTTTTTTTTTTAATTCAGATGATAGAAGAATTTAAGTTTAGTAGGTCTGCATAAAAATGTTGGAAAATTTTGTCAACGGAATCAAAATATGTAATGAGAATTTCAAATCGGTCCAGCTCAAATAAATCTTAATATTTATCCGCAGTATTTTGGCGATAATCTTAAAATATAAGAAATTTTATAATTCCGGTGGAAAAACCAAATATTTTTTTTTTTATGGTGAGGTACCCTAATATCCATACATATGTATTTGTCTGTTCGTATGTTCACATGTGCGGATGATTTCTCTATGAACTTCTTGCCTGCATGGCACTTGCACACACGTGATTGTGTGTATGTATGTAAGTGTTTTAAGTGCTTCATTCGTGTATCTAATTGATAACTAATTAATTTTTCTTATACTTACTTATTTTATAATATTTTACTAATTTTATAATTATGAATTATTGTTTCTAACATTCTCGCCATTACCGATTTTTGCGAACCCCCAGAATCGACGTTTTTGTGTGAATTGTTTGTGTTTATTCTTTGCATGCTGCTTTAAAATTTTTTACTTTCTTTTATTGCGCGCGTAATGCTTTTTTTATTTTCATGATTTTTATATATATATATATATTTTTTTTGATTTTTGGATTCTACATAGCTGCTTATTCCTAGTTTTCTGCACTTTGCTTTCATTGATTTCAACATCACAATCCGATCGCCTTTAGAAGGTCCTTTAAATTTCCAATTAACGCAGAAGAAGCCAAACGGAAAAGAAGCAAATGAAGTGTTGGCGAATAGTTAAAGGCAACACAAAGCAAAAGAAAAAACAAAATAAAAGCAAGAAAGAGAAAAAAAGGTATGTAGACAAAATGAATACATTAGCGTTTTCTTGTAACAAATTCTTGGCTAAATTCAGTAATTCAGTTAAATATGATTTTGGCATTTACTCATCCTCCTCTTCCCTGAAGAGATAAGTGCTCCAGTAGACCAGATTGAATAACGCAAATACCAGCGGGAACGTTATTCGTGATATAACATCGATCCTCTTCGATCTAGAACATTGTCTTTGGTGAGTGAATTTGCGCAGCATTTTGAGGGTGAAAATATACATAATACGCAAGAGAATTGATTAGTTGATAGATTGCAGTGTGTTTTGTGTGAATTGCGCGTTTTAATGAATTGAAAAACTGTGTTTTTGTTTTATTGCTTTAAAATATACCTATGTTTAGACATAACATTAAGTATGTACATATATGAAGGAATTGAATAAGTTCTCGCTGCTGCTTTAACTAAGATATAGTACCAGGTTGATCGAGCTTTGCCCGGAGTGTATATACGTTCTAAAGTTTTCAAGATTTGGATAGCTTTAAAAAAATATTTTGATGGAAAAAAAATGGATTTCGATATCTATTAAGTGAATTTCTTACTCCAAGATTTAGGTGGCAACCCTATTCCATGGGACATGTCTTGAGCGTATATGTACTATGTATACTTGAAAAAATGCGGATTGAAATTAGCAAAATAAAAAATTTTTATTAAGCAGAAGAGTGGCAACCCTGATGGAAAATATTTTCTGACCAAAGTTTTGTGTAGAATCGAAAATAAGTGGCAACTTTACACTATTATCCTAAGGGATAACATCTTGTATATAGGGAAAGCATTGTTTACGAACCTTCTCTTGGTACCCTTGAATAGTAATATTCTACCTTTTTTTCTAAACAAAAAAAAATATATATATGCGGTTCAAAATAGGTGGCAACCCTATTAAAAATATTTTTGAATTATGGATCTTTAAATTGCCTTCTATTTGATACCCATATTATGATGTTTTAATTAATTTGTAACTAATTTTGAATAGGTGGCAACCTTATGTGAGTCTTCTTCGAGATAATGCCTATTCAGATAACCTTAAAATCCAAAACATTATTTGTGTACAAAATTGCATCAAAATCGTTAGAGCCGTTGACGAGAACCCTTTGGATATATATATATATATAAGAATTGCTCGTTTAATGTGGTGAGATATATATGTATGTTAAGATTTACAGATTCATATATGATCATTTGCCGCTAGTTATTGCTGTCCTTTATTTCTCGTCCTTTTTTTTTTTTTTTTGCGTATTCCCATCTTACGACCACCTATTACGAAGTGAGCCTTCTACCAGAGTTGTCCTTATCATCACTGGGCGCATTATGAGATACACTACTATTTCCTGTTTATATGTGGATAATGGAAAGACATCCCGACGGAGCGCCAAAGTTACGCTAAAAAGGCTCTATAACTTCACAGAGCAAATGCGCCTCTCTATGGGGAACTTTTTTTTTGAAGCTTACAAAAAAATTATCTCCATAAAAATAAGGCACACACTAGTAAGCGTCTATGGCTTGTATTTAACCAGTTTTGCTCGTCAGAAGCTCAAGATGGATTAAG